GCCATTTTCGGGAATTTTGCGGCCTTGCCAAATGCACGATTCAAGAAACGATCGGTCTTCTGCATCCATTCATAGCTAGCATCACCCTGACTTGTCCGGCCCGTGTACATCCACTGGCGGTTCTCCATCCTCTAGCATATATAACATCACCACAGTGACCATCAATTGCATCTCGCTGTCCCTACTCTCTAATAGGTGAGGATAGGTCTAATCCCACCTCCTAGATGAGGTTAGTTTCCATGCTCGCTCCTATCCGAGACGGAATTTGGCAAGACCTCCCGCCATTCTCCCGATACACGTCCCGCAAGGGAGAGTGTGTATCCGGAGAACAACGGAGAGGTGATGCCGAAACACCATCTCGAACCGGAGCGGAGCATGAAAACTAACCTCAACTACGCATCCGCGGGCTGTCCAAAAAGCGTGGACAATCCGAAATAGATACGGTCGCTGATATGCAAAGGTCCGCATATCTCCGACCGTATCTCTTTCGAATGGGAGGCACCTAACTAGGTTACGCGACCAAAGACCACATACGGATAGAGGGGTTATACCTAGGGTGGCGGTGAGGTCTGGTAGCGGGCGGGAGAGTCGGTGCAATGGCGGTCGAGTCGGCCATGCGGGAAGACTCGCAGCGCCGACGAAGATGATCGGGGTCGCCGAGTCCCTCCCACAGGTCCTCCTCCTGCAAAAAAGGGCAAAAATGGTTAGTGTCGACCCAAAATTTCGGCAGCACCTCCCCTGCACGGGGAGGTTCCTAAAACCTGCAAAAAACATGGCACGAAGGCCAACAACCACATATATACCAAACATGGACACGAAGGCCAACAACCACCAATATATCAAGAGGAGCCATGTACTTTAGTTCTCTTTCCATGCACATGAAAGTATTGAAGTAGTACAACAACAATTACTACTAACCCTACAACTACTACTAACACTACTACTAACAACTACTTAACTACTAACAATGCTAATAGTAAGAACTACTTAACTATTAACAACTACTACTACTAACCACTACTACTTACTAACTACTACTATTTACTAACCCTACAACTAACACTACTAACTACTACAACTAACACTACAACTAAAACTACTAACTACTACTACTACTAACACTACAACTAACTACTACTAACACTACTAACTACTACTACTACTAACACTACAAGGGTAGGGCTTACCTTGGCGGCAAGAACAACAAGAGCGAGGGCAGTGATTTACGGGGATGATGACCATGAAATACATGAGGATCAACGGCCGGTCGGAACGGCACGGGGATCGACGGGCGGTCGGATCGGCACCTTCCTCTTCTTCCTCCTCCCCCTTCTCTTTCTTCCTCTTCTTCCCCCGCATGTGGAGATGTCTGGGTTTTAGGCACGGGGATCGACGGGGAGCAAGTTGTGATCACATGTGGAGATGTCTGGGTTTTAGGCAGCCGACGTCGCAACTTGCTCGAAACTTTCTCAATTTTTTACCAGGGCATCCACATGTGATAACAAGACACATCGACAAGTTTCGTGATTTTCGGACATCGTTTGGATTTTATATAATTTAAATAAACTTCCCCATGAGTACATCGTCATATTACGACAACATGATGCGCGACATTTCATGCCACTTCCTCGCATACGGCCTCGACATAGCCTAAATATCATGAATACTATTTTTGAATGACCAAATTCCATTATTTCATGTACCTGCAGCCTTCAAATTTGGAATAGTCGGAAATATTCAATGAAACGGAAAAAATTAAGGAAATATAGTTAAAAACTCATAATTGTCCCAAATTTTGAAATAGGGATATATTTATCAGAGCAAGTCCCCACAAAAATGGGGTCAAAAAACAAAAAAAATTGTTTGGTGCCACCCCGCACCCGCAAAGAAATTTAAAAAATTAAAAAAATTCTTTGTCGGTGTCAGTCAAAATCACCGGCACTTCCAAGCAAGGCCCGTGACTAAAAAGGCTGGCCCAAGCAAAAGAAGTTTTGCCGGTGCCGAGTCATGGGCACCCGCAAAAAAATTTAAAAAAAATCTTTGCCGGGTGCCTAATGGCGTGGCACCCGAAGAAGGATGACAATTGGCAACCGTCAAGTCAAAGCCAACCACCACCTTCTTGGCGACCATATTTTGCCGAGTGGTGGCACCCCGGCAAAGACTAATTTTTGCCGACGGCTAGAATTTGCCGAGTGCCGGCACCCGGCAAAGGCTGCTTTGCCGGAGGCCTTTATTTGCCGGTGCCTTCAGGCCTAGCACCCGACAAAGAATTCCTTTGCCGGGTGCCCGATAAAAAGCACCCGGCAAATTTTTTTGCTCCCGGCAAATCAGCCGTTTCCTGTTGTGACAGTACCTTTTTTGGGTGAAAAGCTACAGTACTAGATTGACAAAGACACAACACTTGTCTTTCTTTGGAACTTGGAACCTCGTTGGAATCTCTCTCGTGAAAGAGAGATTAATTCTAGGTGCCTAAATCTACTTGAACCTTTACTGAAAAGTACGTGTAATATATGAAACAAGAGTGTCATACTACATCTTCTTAAACCGAGGAGAACCCCATTTCCATTGTATCATAACGGAAATACAGATATTTGAATCTTATTCGAAAACCAACTTATTAGCTAGCGGCTTCGAAAGCCAAATCCAATCACCAATGGGCCTTAATAACCATTGTGACAGTCTTCTTCATCCTTGGCATCTTGAATCATCAAAGGCATCAAGCTGCTGGAGGTGTTCTTCGGAAGGTTTTGTGGATATCAGCTATGTGCGGCATCATGCTCGCTCGCACCCCTTCGCGCATCTTCTAAATGAATCAGCTTTCGCTACATTCCTCTATAGCTTTTTATAGTTTCTGGAGGAGTCTACAGCTAAATGTCATAAGCCCGCGGTTTAAAACATGCTTGGATACAAGCATGTCTTGTTGTCCACAAAGCTGAAACAACAAAGGAAATTTCTACACCATGGTGTAGGAAAGATCTAGGGATCATTTCGCATTCTTGTTTTATCCCCACTTTTGCATGTAACATGCCGCCCCTGCAAGTATATGTCTCTTACTTTAAGCAAGTTAGTCCACGCAGGAGAAGAGAGTATCATACTACATAAAAGGAACGAAACTCCTAATACAAATTAGTTACGTGTCTACTCTGGTGGTTCCTATACCAAGAGCCTTATTGCATGTGCGAACGTGGTGAGGATAAAAAGATCGATGAAAGGCGAAGGCTGGTATGTATCTTTCGAACTTACGTACGGAACGACCTTTCATAAAGCAATCCCACCGCGCCTGCATATACGTCGTCTGCTTGATGCATCCATCTCGCAAAATTTTGCACTTCACACATATACTGCACTGATCCTTTCATCGAGCAGACGACGCGTATATATGTGCAAAAACTTGCGCCTAATTTTCTTGCAGGCGGGCAAAAAAAAAAGTGATATGCATCAATGCAGCAAGGCATCACGAAGCGTGCCGAAAAAACTTGCGCCTAAGTTTCGTGACGGATCCGGTAAGAATGGACACTACTGTTCCACGCGCCCAGGCTAGAAGATACTCGTGAAGCTCGATCCCCGTCGCATTCACTTGCTTTAGGTTTTCGTTCGTCGTTAGCCGGCCGGCTGCTGAAGCCGACGTTCTTGAATGACTGTGTGCGCTCCAATTACTGCCTGATCCAGACAGCTCGCGCTCTGACAGCCAACGGAGACTGTTAACCAACGCTAGCTTATCATAAGACCATCATCATCGATGAGCCAGCCAAGATTATCTGTACTAGCGAATTCCATGAATCTATACTAGTAGCTCGATGAAGCACTCGCATGCTGGTCGCAGCACGTGTTGAAGATGGTCGCCGCGCGCCATTGTTAATGCATGGATGGCCAGTCACCCACACACGCGGTCGCACGTATAGTAGGCACCAGTCCCCGTCAACTTAGAACAAAGGTGTTGTCAGCCTTGAGATACGTGTGTAACGACGTCGTTGCTCGATGTTTTGAACCTGCGGCGTTTCCTAGCCCGCATGCATGCAATGGACGACGAAGGTGCAGGAGAATTTTTTTTCTCGAATACGCACAAATGTGTATATCATTATATTAGATGAAAAGTTTATAATACAATACAAAATTCCGTTTTCGGCCGTTAATTTTTGTGGACGCTACACTATGAAATAAAACGTGACGTGTGCCCCTCCGCGGCCTCGCAATTGATTCGCAGCAGCAGCAGCACATCAGCCAGCAGGTCGAGCCAAGCACCGCACGTCGCACACGTACACGCACGCGGCCTCCGATCCGCCACAGCACCGCCGCGCGCGCCCGGGGCCCGGGCGCCGCGAGCTTCCGGCGAGCCGCCACGCGGGCGACCTCGCGGCCCCAGTCGACAGTCTACTGCTGGCTATCTCCGGGGATGGTGCTCGCGCCGCGGCGCCGGACGGGGAGAGCCGGCAGCCCGGCACGTGTGCACGCGTGGCGGACCATTAGTTCCTTCGTGGCTAAGCTACAACGCGCGCCCGGGGGCGTTCGTCGGGTCCCCCTCACGTCGCACCACACCAGTGACCAGCCTTAGCGGGCACACGAGGAAAGCGCGGCGCGCCCGACCGCACCGGTGTTCGTTACTCGATGACCATATCGCCAACCGTCGGTTGGTGATGCCCAAATCATCCTCCGTCGTCGGATGGAGTGCAGGCGGATAAGACGACGCGAATATACTAGCGGGGCGGCTGAATCTTTGGTTGCCACGAGTAAAGCGGGTCTGTGGAAAAAGGAGGGCTAATAACAGCCACCCGGGAAGGGAAGAAGGAAGACACCCCACGTAACGGTGGGCCACTACAGCGGCGGGCCCACCTCTCCGTCGCCAGGCTCGGGGTCTCCGTTTTTCCTCTATAAATAGCCGGCGTTTCCTCATCGTTCCTCCCTTTTCCCCGAATCTCTACTCGCGCCACCTAGTTCTGGAATTGCGGATACGTGGTCCCTTGCTAGCTCTCGTAGTGCAAGCAAGCGTGGGGGAGAAGGACATGCTGTCTGTGCAGGACGCCCTTGACCTTGCGTCGTCCAGCTGCGGCACGATGGACATTATCACGTGCGGGTTCACGCCGTGGGGGCCCGAGTCGTGCCCTAGCCTGGACCAGGTGATGGCGTCGTCGAGGCCAGCCGCGGCCGCGTCCACGGCGGCGGTGGAGGAGGCCGAGGCGGCGAGGGACGCGGACCCAGAGGAGGAGGAGCGGCTCCGGCGTCAGCGTCGCAAGATGTTGAACCGGCTGTCGGCGCAGCGGTCGCGCGCGCGGAAGCAGCAGCGGCTGGAGGAGCTCCGGGAGGCGGCGGCGGGGCTCCGCGCCGAGAAGCAGGAGCTGGAGGCCAGGCTGCAGGCCCTGGCGCGGCACGACCTCGCCGTGCGCTGCCAGAACGCGCGCCTCCGCGCCGAGGCCGCCGCGTTCGCGCGCCGCCTCCGCGAGGCGCGCAGGCTCCTCGCGCTCCGCCGGCTCGCGTACGACCTGATGCCGCAGCAGGCCGCCGGCGGCCGCGGTGCCCCTGCTGGGGCTGGCGTCGCTCATGACGTAGAACGACTCTCGGGTCCTCGCACTGGTGAAGTTTTGGCACGGACGGACGGACGGACGCGCGCATGCTACGGTGAACTGGAAACATGGGGCACACTGAGCCTAGCACGGTGCATGCAGCTATCTGCCGCTAGCAATACTACTACGGCCAGAGGTGGGGCCCGTGTTGACGTGTAAATTGCATAATCAAGTGCTACATGTAGCTTGATGTGAATTAAAGCGAAGAAAAAATATATTTTTAATAATGCGGAGACTTGCACGGAAAATGTCACCGGTGATTTTCACCGTACCTGACATCACAACAGTGTCGTCGTATTTTACTTATCTAGACTAAAAAATCGATCGCTCTCGACTGCAGGATCGACAACCCAGCAGTGCGCTGTGGGCGCCGTTTGCACTGTGCAGGCCAATGCACGAGGGGAACCAGCGTCGTGTCGTGTCGTTGTGTTGTGTCATGTACCTGTGAAGTGAACAGGCCGAAAGCTGGGCCTTTGCCGTCTTTTTTCGAGCCAGGGAACGTGAGCCTTCCCACCCTAAAACTATACGCATCACTACATCGAATATTTGGATAGAGTATTAAATATAGATTAAAAAATAATTAATTATATAGTTTACGACTAATTTGTGATACGAATCTTTTAAACCTAATTAGTTCATAATTTGACAACAAAGTGCTACTGTACTTATGTGCTAACGACAGATTAATTAGACTTAATAAATTTATCTCGTTGGACGGATTCTGTAATTTATTTTTTTATTAACCAACACTTACGTGAAAATACCTCCATGTAACAAGGCCTGAGCCACAAACAACGATTCGATGGGGACGAGGGGCCCGCACCGATCCGTTACTTGGTGGCGACGAGGGACACCGATCGAGCGACCGCCGGGAGCCTCGCAGTGGCGTGGCGCACAGAGACCGCCCGGGCCCCGGCCCCGGCCCCGTTGTTGTCGTCCTCGCCCATGACTCCATGTCGTCCCTATCCCATTCGCACCTGCCGGCTCGCTCCAGCGCCCGCCCATCGCGACCCGGCCAACCACATCGTTTCCTTCTTCCTGACGACCCCGTTTCTCCCTGCAAGGCTGCAACTATATATGTCACCATCGTTCCCTGCAAGCCATGCGTTTTGCTGTAGCCTGTAGTAGCCCTGTAGATGAAGGTGTACTTGACTCTCTACACGGCCCGCCCCGGCCTCCGCGGAGTCCCTCGCAAGACCGACCGAGTCCAACAGAATTCTGAACGTTAGCGCGTCGAATGTACACTGGCCCAGGAAGCAGAGTCCTGACCCAACACGGGCCGCATCCACCCCTTCACCCGCTTAAATCTCTGCCAGCCCAAACCCAACCAACCCTAGCGCAAAGCGTTTCAGTTCTCCGCCTCTTTCGCCCACGCGCGCCGCTCTTTCCGAACCGAAACCGCGCTCCCCTCTCTGCCCCCCCTAACCGCCTTCCCCTCCCCCCCACTCCTCGCCGTCTCGTGCCCCGCCGGCAGCGGCTCAATCAGAAGCGCTCCTCGCCGGGATGGAGGAAAAAGAGCACGAGCCGCGGAAGCTCTTCATCGGCGGGATCCCGCGCTGGGGGTACACTGCGGACATGGTCAGGGCCCACTTCGCCCGCTACGGGCACGTGGTGGAAGCGCTGGTGATGGCGTATCCGGACGGCTGCGGCCGCTGTTTCGGCTTCGTCGAATTCGAGGACGAGGAGGCGGTGCTCAGGGCGTTGGACTCCAAGGAGAGCGACAGGCTCGACGCCTTTTTCGGCTGCAAGGTGAGCTTTTTTTAATCCTTAATTTATCGCCGGCGTTTAAAATTAACCGCTTTGCGGCGGCGGCGATGTTTGGATGTTCTGTGTTCTTACTCGTACTAAGAAATCGCAAGCTGTAGTTGATACTGTGTTTTGTGGGCTTAGAGCTTATGCCTTATGGGATTAGTAGACATTAAGGCAGTGTGGGATCAGTCTAAGTTTGCTTACGGGAATTGTGGCGTGGTACTGATCTGCCTAGCCTCGTGGATCAGATTGTTCCTTTCACTACTACTGTGAAATTAAGGTCCTTAAAAAACACGAGTTGAGTTTTGCTATGTAGTATGTAAAATTCCTGTTGAAAAATCGAAGCTTTCACTACTACTGTGAAATTGAGGTGCTTAAAAAACACGAGTTGAGTTTAGCTATGCATGTAAAATTCCTGTTGAAAAATTGAAGCCTGTGTCTAGATAATTTCTGTACACTTCAAATCCATAGCTTGCTTCGTAAGAGAAGATGCAAGTGAACAATGTTCAAGGGTGCTATGCGGTTTCTAGGCGACGACCCACGGCCTAGAGCCTAAGCGAGCCTAGGCTAGCCTAGGTGTTTTCCTAATTTTTCATTCAGCGTGTAAACTAACAAGTGAGGGCCCGTTTAGATTCCAAAAAATTTTGCGCAGTATCCGTCATATCGAATCTTGCGGCACATGCATGGAGTACTAAATGTAGACGAAAAAAAAAACTAATTGTACAGTTGGATGAGAAATCACGAGACGAAATTTTTGAACTTAATTAGTCTATAATTAGACACTAATTGACAAATACAAACGCAAATGCTACAGTAGCCAAAATCCAAAAAATTTTGGATCTAAACGGGGCCTGAGTAAGTGACAGCTAACTAGCCTGGCTATGCATTCAGTCAATCAGCTAACTAGCTAAGCTATACATTCAGTCCATCAGTCATTCAGTCAATCAGCTATACATTTAGAGTTCAGGCAATCACAGATACATACATGCTATACATCAGACCACTTCAAAGTTCAAAGAAAACAGAGGAGAGGAGCAGGGGAGGACAGACTGACCTGCTGGCTGTTGCCGCTTAGGGAGGAGACCGGCGGGACGGAGGAGCGCGTTCGGCGGGGAGGGGAGCACCCGGCGGGAGGGGGCGTCCGGCGGGGAGGAGCTCGCCCAACGGGGAGGCGGGCGCCCGGCGGGGAGGAGGGCGTTCGGCGGGAGGAGCTCGTCCGGCGGGGATGCGAGCGCCGGGCGGGGAGGAGCTCGTCCGGCGGGGATGGGATCGCCTAGGGGTCCGCGTACCCCCATAGGCCAGGTGGGACCCCATCACCCAGCGATTAGGCGCGCCTAGGCGGGGAGGAGGCGTCGCCTTTTTGATCCTTGCAAGTGAATGAGGATTGCATCCTTCTGCTAAAACCACTAGTTCTTGCTTGCTTGTCCCCAATGCAAGCTGAGCAACTGTATTTCAAATCCTTCTATATGGGCACACCCTTTGTTTTGGTTGTCATGGTTCATAAGTTCGGATTCTGCATTGTCAATGTGGTATCTCTTGGGTGGAGGTGCACAGCCTGCAGCTCATCTGCAGTTCAGAACTTTGTACTTTGGTTGCTTGTATATGTGTAGTGAGAATGTGCGAGGTGGCACATGTTTTCAACCCATAAGAAGCAAGGTTGTCAAGTATAAAAATCGATAGTTGATGATTTCATGTATTTTGTAGGAAGTGTGGCTATAGAGATGTTCTTCTTTCTGATAGTAGACTCCTATGCCTATCAGGTCCGCAACTTGCCAAGAAGAAGCTCAATGTGATATTTTTCTGGATAATGCAAACTTATTTTGATCTATTTAATATTTTGTTGGTCTGTTTGTTGAATCAGTTGTTTTCATTTATCTGCTGATATAAGCTTGTGTGCTGTGACTTTTTTGCAAAAAAATTGGTCCAAAGTTATACAAATTCTACTATGTTCTTTTTTTTGTAAGCAATTTTCTTCTTTAGAAAAATTCTTCGTATATATGATTTTGACTTAAAACCATTTGATTGATGCTGGTGATGTATAGGTCAATGTGCTGAGGGCAGAAAAGAAACAAGAAACAAGATCTGCACAGACTAGCACTACCTCTAATTCAAATGTTGGTTTGAAGATATTTGTGGGAGGGTTTGGGGATAATGTCACCAAAGACCATCTCATAGATTATTTTGAGAGGTTTGGCATGATAACTGATGCTGTCGTGATTTCTCATAGACACAAGAAAGCCAAAGGGTTTTGGCTTTGTCACATTTGATTCCAAGGAAGCTACAGTCAAGGTTTTAAAGGATAGGTTTCATTATTTGAACGGGATAAGTTTTGGCTTTGTCACATTTGATTCCAAGGAAGCTACAGTCAAGGTTTTAAAGGATAGGTTTCATTATTTGAACGGGATAAAAGTGGAAACTAAAAATGCTGAACCAAAAGATCGGCGCAGGTATCAAAATGGACACTGTTATGATTCAATGGACATGGTCAAGGGCAGAATGTACTCTCTGCACAGTAGGTATTATGATTCAATGGACATGGCCAAGGGTGGAATGTACTCTCCGCACAGTTTACCTTATGTCCCTTACTACAATGGTCCTTATTTGGCTTATCCATACCCATATCCCTATCATTACACACCTTATGGAATCATAGACTATGGCTACATGGGGAACCAAATGGACAACTCATACGATAGCAGATTGAGTCACGTCAAGGGAAGTCAGCAGAAAATTGGCATACCGGCTTCCACTGGCATGAAATCAGACCTTGTGAAGTCAGATTCCAACAACTTACTGGTAAGTGCTCCTTGATCACCTTCTGATTAAATTTTCTGGCTACTCTTTCTTAATATGTGGCTAGACTCACCTTTTTTCTATACTAATAACATGAAGTATTTCTGTATGTGTATGTAGTTAGGTTCATCTTTTCCAATTAGACCTAAATAGTATTATTGTTTCATGTTTGCCTTCCATGATCAATTTGTGAAGCAGGTCTAATAACAATTGTATTGCTGCTATACTATTCACGATCCATATTAGTCGTTTGATTAACCATCAATTGTTCATTTTCATATCTGCGTCTTTATGACTAGAATGGAAGGCAGATGAAAAGGTTTTGATCAGTTATTCCATAAATCTTTTTACTGCTCTCTTAAACTGTTCTCTCAACAAATGGGGCCATCATTTCTACTAAGCTTTGCCAAGTGAACTTTTCTGGCCCATGTCATATGACAGCCTTCATGAATACCAATAGGTTGTGGATTTACAATACCAGATGATATCTAGTTGGTTTTAAACTTTGAACTGTAGAATGATGGATACTCCCATCATTGTATATGGTTGACAGTTAGACAATCCAATGTTTTTTTCTTGGCTTGGAATCTGAACATAAGCTCACTGCCTGACTCAGAATTCTTCTCTATTCAGTGTTTCATATAATGAAATCGCGAAGGTCTTTGTAATGGTTGAGCAAAAACAAGTTTTCCATTGTGTAGTCTAATTAAACCTTTGTTCATTATGTGCTTTGCGCAGTGATGTTTAGCTGTGCTTTGCGCAGAGGGTGATTCCCATTTGCTTGTGCTTTGTTCTCACATGATAACGCTGGTGTATTTTGCTTATTATGCAGTGAGAGGGCTAATCGTACAACATTTGTAGTGCTTAACCGGTAACAATGTTTTTGGGAACGCTGCAGTTGTGAAGACTGAAGCTCATCAGAATCGTTTTAGTTACCTTCATGCAGTCACTCTTTGTTCGTACCCTGTACATACAAGCAAATGGGAATCACCCTCTGTACTTATGCTTGGATTCAGTTTCTGTTGCCATTGCTATTTCTTTACTGCTGCCATCGGATGTCTTGATGACCTTGGCTTAATACATTCCATGTTTATTTAACTGCTCACCTAAGTGCTGAGATCTCACTAATTTGCGTTGTTTTTTATGGTGGTCAAGCCTGTGTGGATTCAGTTTTCTGAATCTCGTAGATTCTCAGATCTCAGTATTCAAAATCTTACGCTGTTAGTTGTCGGATTGAGTACGTTGACTAGTACATACACACCCGTTTCTGCAATGAATCCGGATATCATCGCCTGTATCTGCAATCAATCCCGATATCATCGCCTGTATCGTGCTCTGCTATCTGATACGTCCGGCTGGACGCATACTGAAACCATTCAGCAAAATCAGCCTCAAATCTCTTTATTCAGTATCTGTCTACCTATCCGTCTGCAGCTCCTGCTCTGCTCGTTTGCATGCATGGCAACGAGAGCAGCTGATATCGGCTCTGAGCCAAATATAGCACTGGTGTCAATATACTCCAAAATTGTCCTAGTGGGTACCAATCACATTTCTAAACTACTCCCTCCACCCCAAAGTAAGTACATATCACGCTTTTTAAAGATAACTTTTTAAAGTTCAATAGAATATATATGGAAATATACTAATATTTATGATAATAAGTATCATTAGATTAAAAATAGAGTATTTTTATAATATAAGGAAATACAAATATTGATAATATTTTCTATAAATTTAGTCTTTTTAAAAAAATGACTCCTCGAAAGTGAGACCGTGCGGTTATTTTGACATAGTTCCCAAACCCACTCCAGTTAACTTGGTTTCACTCAAAGTTTCACTCAAAGTCTAACTAGTACCTGACTGCTAGTAGTCTAACCCGCATGTAGGGCAAGTTTGTCTTCTTAATGCAACTAGGAGGTCGAGACGGTCCTCACCAAAATATTTCAATAAAAAAAAAGCGAGATAGCAAGAGCTATAAAGGGGAGGAGTTCGGAGAATTACATTGTGATCTTGTGAAGCGAGTTTACAAAATGGTGAATCCAAATGTCTAGATCACCACAAACGATCAAAAGTATGCAGCGGACAACCAAACAGTTCATGCCGAAAGGTGAAACTGTTTCTTGCTTCCTAGATTCTCTAGTGAATCGTGAGCATCATTGAGTGCCACCCAGCGGGCGGGACGTCAAGAAGATCGGCCAAAGTCTAGAGTTCGCCTGCTTGTGCTTAGACAAGATTTTCAAGCCGGAGTGTCTTAGAATATCGAGCTTTCAGGACACTTGAAGAAATGGTGAGCCCTCATTTTAGTAGTGGCACCGCACCGCTGGGAGTCCTCTCCATCGACGACATGCTTGTGGAAGAGGTTAGCTTAAGTACTCAGATAGTCTTTTGGAAAAAGCTACCCAAAGATCTCCATCTGGTTTGGAACTGTCAAGATCCTCATCGTGAGCCGAAATAAGTAATGAGTAAGCATCTTTCGTGCGGTAGTCCTTGTCGTTAGAAGACATACATCTAACATGGGACGCCTGACACAATTATACCTACTAGAGATTTGAAAGTAAAAGACTCAGGTCGCACTAGGCAACATTTGTCGATTGCAACCTAAGGTGCAATTCCATCTCATTCTAAAAATATATTGAACTGAAACATTACGCCAATTGTTGTGAGAGAAAAGAGCAAGATAGGAAGTGACTAGAGTTTCAGACCCAACCAAGTATCAACCCAAAAGGCGGCTGTTGCCCTATTCCCTATGGAGATGTTGGCGAGAGCACGATAAGAATTAAGGTCGTCGTTTATGATGAGCAAAAGGTAGGAAAGAGGATATGTTGGCGGTGAGGCCATGTTCATTGACCTACCCAAGAATCCAATGCTTCCAAGGGGGGGATCGTTGGAGAAGAGCTTACCAACAAATCTCATGAGTATGAACTTGTTTTGGGTCTCGAGATCCTTTACGCCCAAGCCACTAGTGTTCTTGGGGCACAAATTCGTTCCTAAGCAACAAGGCCTTAATAACGAGATCCTTTAGGCCCGAACCACTAGTGTTCATGGCAAGTATCCTCCCTAATCCAAAAGAAAGCACGACACCTACGGTCAGTAGCCTTACTAACACCTTTGGGTAGTTTGATGGCTACCATGTAGTGGAGGGGGAGAGAACTAAGGACAGCGGAGGAGATAATAAGCGTCCTAGCGCAATTGAGTAAAGTGGCACATGAACTAGCAAGGTATTTGTCACAGCTAGCAGAGGGTGGCAGTCAACGACGATGATCTTGTCCGTCGGTAGGGGGGGGGAGCCCAAGGTAAGGCTACGGAAAGGAGCCAACCAGAGCACCAAGAATATTCGCCATGCGATCACCGATCAACGGAGCTAGGAGGTAAATTAATGGGAGGAAAAGAAGTTTTGTGGTAATTGGTTGCTAGACCAGTGGCATTGGCAAAAGCGTCAAGGGTGTCCTTAACCAAATGAATAACCTATGTTGAAGCAAGGAGGAGAAAAGGGTACCATCTATGTATTGTTGGCCGGGGAATGGGGAGATCATCAATGATAGGGTGTGAAATAGTGCTTTTGGGACAATGGTGTCGCATGAGGCAAAGAAGGACATCGACAACTATAATAAAAAGATAGGGGGAGAGAGGGTCCCCTTGGAGCAAGCCATTGTGGCACATTCGTCATACTCCCTCGTCTCTGCATGAAGTTACTATATAGAGACCACCCAAGTCTCATAGACCACAATGTTTAACAGCGAGACTCATACTATTGTGTTCTTCCAAAAGTGCTCTGTATGATAGCATCTTTGTTTGTTAAAGCCAATAGAAACACATTAAAGCATGTTGTCAACCTGCCTTACAACTATGAGAGTATTACATGTTTACTTAGAGTGGGTTGTAGATTACTCTCCTATTTTAACCAACAACTTGGCTTTCCCATGCCCTAGTCAAGGGATCTCCAATAAAAAAAAAAGGTTGCTTATTACTATGGTAAAACTCATACGGGACTCATACTCATCTCCCTTAATATATTTTCTATCAAACTTTGTGTAGCCCTTTTCTAAAGTATCTCCTAGATTTTTCTAAAGGTATCTCCCTTGATATATTTTCTATCACATTCTGTGATAGCCCTCGATATATTTTCTATCACATGATTCACTAGTTCATAAGCCACAACTTTCACTTTGGAGTTTCATGACATACTTGAAGCAATCCTTAGCACTGTTCACTTTGACAACAACCGCTTTCTTGTCAAGTTCATAAGGATAGCCAATATTTGTTTTCTCCACCACATTCAAGTCCATAAAGGGCTCACACAACTATTCTGCCTCTGCAGTAGCTGTATACAAAGTAGGAAAAGTTTTGTTTTCATGGTTGACCTCGTCAAAATGGTCTATTCTCAAGACCTCCTTGAAACCGCACCACCACCAAGAGTAGACACAAAACCCACTTATGGTATAAAACTCATCAACATCAGTACCCAGTTTGAATCACTATAACCATCAAGCACAGTTAGGTGTCTTAAATAATGAATCTCTCATTGTACCTTCGAGTAGTACAAAATCGTCTCAAGTGCTTGCAAATGATCATCACTCAATTGCTCATAGTAAAAGAGATGTCTGATATTGTTGCGCAAGCTAAGTACATGTGAGTGAGCCAATAATCTACGAGTAGAGTAGCTCAATTGATATATTTCTGTGCTCTTGTTCTTTCAAATGAAAGGGCCGAGATATTGCCTTGAGGAGAGAGGGGATTTTTTTTAAGAAAGGACGGCAAAAGTTTTGCCACAATTTTTTTCCAGAAAGAACAAAAAAAAAGATGATGGCACAGTTTTTTAGTGGAAACTTGACGGAAAAAAACATGGAAGGAGGGGATGAATAGGCAATTCCTACAAAATTCACAACTTGAAATGCAACAGATTAAATAATCGTCCGAAGATCCTGCATAAAACGTTTGGTTGATTTGCTTGGAGTGACCCATGTGTCTGAATCGATTTTCTGACTGAGGCCCCATTTAGTTCCATCCAAAAACCAAAATTTTTTGCGCTATGCTGTCCACATCGAATCTTATTGGTGTCAATTGTCTAAATGTAGACTAAAAAAGACTCAAAACGTTAGGTGAGAAATCGCGAGACGAAACTTTCGAACCTAATTAGTCCATAATTAGACACTAATTGCCAAATAAAAACGAAAGTGCTACAATACCCAAAACCTAAAAATTTTTGGATCTAAACACGCCCTGAATCGGGTAGAGATTTCATCAAACATCACGAGCAAAGCAAGCACCTTTTCCTTTGCGTAAGGTTCCTTCGTTTTCTTTTCTGCTCGACTGGCCTTGTGATCCATTCTAGGTGGTGGAGTGTCTAGGCCATGTACTGTATAAATTCTAGCACTGGCAAGGCTAGGCAAAGCTTAGCCTGCCACAACACGCCATGTCTCTTTCTTCTTGACTCTCGCTTTGTGGTGCAAGGCCGCGTTTAGTTGGCTGGCTGAATCGGCGCCGCCACTCTCCGGCTTTGTGCGTCCATTCTAGGTTCGTTTGTACTTGTGTAATGATTGTCCAATCGTTGACTAATTAAATTCAAAACGTTAAATCTCATAAAAAGTACAACCAAACTGTGCAATTAGTTTTGATTTCGTCAATATTTAGTCTCCACAACGCACTGCATGTTTGATGTTCTTCTTCTTTTTTGCACTCTCGCTTTGGATTTGGGTGAAACTAAACGTGGCCCAAATGCAATACAGAGCAGCGACCGGCGAATGGATGAGTGAGGGGTGACCGAGTGACCTCGAGACAGGATGCTGCTGCCAGAACCCAGAAGTAGGAGTAGAAGTCAGCACCAGTTGACAGTGG